TTTGCTTATTTGTTTGTTTTGCCTCCACTTTGCTTTTTCCTGTCTTCTTTTGTGCGTCTTCCTCGTCCACCTGCTCAACTCCCCTTCCCACCCCTTTCAGGGGGGATAATTTTCTTGGTCGTTTGGCTTTTTGTGCTTTTATTATGCCGCACACGGCTCAACTTTTCAACTTGTTCTTTTTTAGCTTTTTTCGAATGGCGGCAAAATAAAATGAAATAAAAAATACATTTTCGTCAAGGACGTTAATTGTTTTGCTTCTATTTTTTTCGTCTGGCCTGCATGCGTGTGTGTGTGTGAGTATGAGTATGTGAACGAGACGGGAGATGTGTATGTGAGTCCTTTGACTTTTATTTTTGCTTTTATTTCCAGGAGCTACTTGTTTATGTTGTTTTTTATTGCCGCCTCAATTTGCGTGCACTTTGCGGTTGTTGTTGTTGTTGTGTTTGTTTTTGCACTGCGTGTCCTTGCCTTTATTTTGCTTTCTTTTTCCACTTTCTTCCGGTTTACACACGTTGCCACACATATAGCCATATAGCCCATAAGTGGCGTTTAATTTATCAATTTGTCGTTTGCCAAAGGAATTCATTATTTGATTGTTGTACTCTTTTTTTTTTGTTTTGGTCGCTTCCGGTTTCCCCTCTTTGATGCGGTTTGTTTACTATTGTCTGGGCTTAATCTTTTGTTTATTTGCCATCAACGTCATCGTTCGTGTCGTCTGATGTTTCCACTTTCCCGTTGCTTCGGAAGCTCAATCGGTAGCAATGAACATTTTGCTTTTTTTGCTTTCTTTAACTCCTTTCGGTACATATTTTTTAGTGTTTCAGTAATAGGAGTCAAATGGGTTTTTGCGATGGACTTTTGATTAGGGGAATTAGGTCTTGAAAGAGTTCGAACGGTGATCGGAAGACAATTAATCAAGGACTCTTATAAAAATAAAATTGCGCTCACATAGTAATTTGAAACAACTGAGTTATCAAAATATATCCCTTTTGGTCATCAAACAACTCATTTATTTTCAAGTATTTTGTAAAGTTGATTAGACATAAATAACCCTACATATATGCTTTAGGTTTGTTCTTGTTATTTTTAAAGTTCAATTTTCAAAGGTTTTGAAAAGAAACAAATTTTATTCCCTTTTATTTGAAAGAAATGTTCTTGTATTATCTTAATTCTGAAAAGAAAAAGGAAATTAAACAACTCCCCAATCAAGCTCCTTTCAATCCCTGCCATAAACGCAGCACTTATTCAAATCCAACAAGTAATTAAAACGCAAGTCTCGAGGCTAGCCAAAATAAGTAATTGCCACCGTGTTCGACAACTCATCAGCAAACAGGAAAATTGTCCAAGAGTAGTCACAAAAAAAAAAAGACAAAACGGGTAGCAAGGAAAACTCCAACCGAATTGACAAATTAAAAGCAAGTGAAAATTTTCGAAAAACCCTGAATAAAGAACAAGAGTGCTTTGAAAAGGAAACAAGCTGGGAGCCCAGTGGACAATTAAGCAAAAGGGGGATTGACAATTAGAGGGAAAAGGGGTCGGTCGGCTGTTGGTGGAATACGGAGGACTGAAGAATCGACAAGTTTCGGGCGCGCAATTATGATTATGGGTGCGTTTGCCCTTTCCTTCGCCCAAATCCTACTTTAATTGTTTTTTTCTCTCATCTCTCTTATTTTCTCATTTTTTGCCAGGGATGCTGCCCAGTTGCCTGGACGGAAATTCATTAGAGCAGCCCTTAGGGGAGCGGTGCAGGGGTAACTGCTCCCTGGCCATGTCAAAGCGACTCCAAGACGTTGTCTTGGCTTTTTTCCTCAGCGAAAATTGCAATTTTTCCAGGACCAGACATCGATGGGGTTGGGACGATTGTCCCTGCCCGGGAAACGACTCCCTTCGCCAGGATCGTTGGGTGTGGCTGGGTGCAAAAAAGGGCTTCGCATCCTGCTTACGATATAAAAAAAAGGGAAGAGAATAAGGACCGCTAGACGACGGGCAGGCGAGCAAACATAAAAATGCGTTTTTGCCTTCAGAAGTCCCTTTTCGAAAAGCGGCTAGGTGGGGTTTTGGCAGGGTGGCGACTTGGACGGGCACCTAAACAGAAAGTAATCAACCCACACACAGACACACAGAGCCATAGAGATATACCCACACAAACACACACAGCAAAAAGGACCTCCTTCACTCATTTGCACAAAACACACCCACAACTTTGGTCCGAGCTGGAGAAACTTTTTTTCGCTTTCGCCGCTCCAACAATTCTGTTTCCTCCGCGTCGTGGGGCGGGCGGGGGGCGTGGCATTGTTCTTGTGCCGCCATGAAAATTAATGAAGAAGTGCCCGACCCATGTTCCAGAGGCACTAAAACTCCGTTCTCCGCCCACCGACCCAGCGACTGACAGACAGTCGCTCCGGACCCCAGTTTTGAGGTTGGGGCCTGGGTCTTGGGACCTGGGCTTTCAGTTGGGTGGGTGTGCGGGTGTGAGGGTGTGTGGCTGTGGATACGTAGCCAAGACTGCCTCTTGGGGGTGCGTGCCCATAGCTTCTGGCTTTCAGTTTTTTTTTTAACAGTCCCCTAACACTAAAGTGGGATTTACATAAATTCTGGACTACTAAGCAGGTCTTAATGGTTTATGGCCTATACAAAATATATAAAATCGAAATGCCCTAAAGTTTATATAAATTATAGCAGGTAGAATAAGTAATTTATTATAAACATGTAGTTAAGTAAAGAAAGACTAACAAGAAACATTCAATTTAGCTTGTCCTCAATTTAAGAACACTGAAATTTATAATAATATTAAAATTATTATAAAGAATTTTTAAATGTTGGAAGACTTCTTAGAATTCACAATTCTTTATGGTACAACATAAAAAGTTGAAAAGCTATGTTATTAGCTGCATTCATTAGGTACACGTAATCGTTTCAGAAATGTACACAGCCACTCGAAACTAACTGGATTTCTCCACCATCAAGCGAAAAACTGTTTAAAAAAATGTGCCGCACTCAATGACAATATCTGCAACGAAACGGGTAAAAAATCAGTCCACAAAAAACCGGAGAAAAAGCGATTTGGACAAACTCACGGAGCATTGGGCAAGCCAAACCCTTTGGGTGGCGAAGGCTTTGTGTACGGACAATGCGAATGCGAGAGTATGTGTAAGTGTGAGGGACCCAAACTGAGTCACCCAGTTGGGACGGGGACTCGAATGACTCGGAGGACATATACACACCCTACGCCCACATACGGCGGTCAAGTGGGTGTTGACCTGTCCACATTTAGAGGGGCACGGACTCGTTTGGTTTTTGCCAGTTTTTTGGTTTTTTTTTTTGTGCGAGGGGAAGGGATGAAGTCGCCCAACTGACGCTAGATGGCGCCAGGCGGGACTCCGAACAGGAGCCGAGGTAGCAACAGGACATGGACGAGGACGACGCCTTTGCTTTTAGCTTGATTGCCAAGCCTAGTTAACTGTAAAGTTTTATAACTTTGGCCGGCCACCCAATCGCCGCCCCCTCACAAACTCACACACACACACACAGACACCTTCGCCTCGCTTGGCCTCACCTGTAAAGCGTTAAAATCGGTTGGTTTATAGCACGCGCCAACGCAGTCCTCTTTACCCCTTGCCCACCATCTAAGCCAAGTTCGACCGGGCTCTGACCCCAACCCCCTGTTCAACCCTGACAGCACCGACGTTCGTTCGACCCTTTTAAAAAGTCGTCAATACTTGCTGGCCTGCAACACCCCCGACCAACTCCCGTGGAAAAGGCCGAAAGGGTTTGGGCAAGGGATACGTGCAACGGCCTCTGAGCTCAGAAGCAAGGACTCCGGCGAGGATTCCGACCAGGATGAGGAGCAGCCACGGACCTGGAACCCGGGACCTGAACACGGACCAGATGACCGGGCGTCTATCAAATTCCAATTTCGGTCCCTTTTTTTCCCTCCGCTCTGTTGGTATTCAAGGTTTATGGCGTCTTTTTAGCGTAAATCCTGCATGGCCATGACTGAAGTCCGGTCCTGCTGTTGCGCCCTTCAGCGAAGGGCCGTTGCTGGACCGTGGCCCCCGCCCCTGAGTAAACCTAATGCCGACCTATCGGTGGGGCCGCATCTTCAGTATCCTATCACAGCCACCCCATCCACACCCTGTCTGCCACCAAATTGCACAGAGCTATTGGGTACACTTCTATTTTTTCCTTGTCATAATAACATATATATATATATATATAATAACATATATATCATTTGTATGACACCAAGTTTATAAAGTTTTTATTTTCATATTCAAATATTCGCATCATTTGCAAATTAAGTGATTGGATGTCAGATATATCCGCAACATGTCTGGCTTTTTTCCCAGTAAAAATTATATAAGAAATATATTTCAACGCATATTTACGGAAGTGCAAATAGCAATATTCCCAATCAGCAAGGCTGTTCTGAAAACTGCCTTAGTTGTTCACGGCTATCTATAGAATGTGACTATATACGTAAAATATAATCGACGATAATGAGAAATTGGCTTGCTCGGGCATAGCCTAGACGTTTTATTATGACTTCTATAAAAATGAACACCTTATTCAACATCTTATCAGGGGTCTTTCACATTTTGTTAAAAGTATATATATTTGCAGTGGCAGCAAACAGCTGATGGGTATTTAAATGTCGAAAGCAAGCTTGTGCAAAAAACCGGTCTTTTCTGTTGACGCATAGCACACATGTGCACGAGTTAAAAAATGCACAGTTCAATATTCAGTACACTTACATGTAAGATTTACCTAAGATTTTGTAAATGTTATTAGTGAAAATGTTTATTTCTTTCCACCACAATCCTTAAAGGAATTAACTTTTCTTTTCATGATTCAATTTATTCCATTCCATTCAGCTAGCAAAAAAAACCCAGTTGTAAATAACTCTCATCAACACGATAACCTCTGAATAACCAGCTGAAAACGTGACTCTTAATGTTCTTTATGTATAGGTAAGCGTGAACAGATTGCGATCGGAAATTGTTTGCTATGCTCGCGGAATAAAGCTTAGTTTGAACTAGACAATCACTGCGGTTGCAAGTGCCGCGCAAAGATTAACAATGGAGTACCCCAATCTACTAGTAATTTTCGCAACCTTGTTGCTCCTCCAATTCGAGGTAGGTCATTATATTTCTTATCTTCACACAAGTGACAATATTTTGTTCGCCTAGATGGGAGTAGCAAGATCAACTTACAATGGATTAGATCCGTCTTTGTACGTCGAAGCGCGGCGATTGGGCTTGGATGAGGGAATACTTAATGAAATGTGGCGAACCAAGAAACCGTGGACTGTCACAAAGACAAGAAATGACGGTACTGTGATTAGGAACACCTATCAGCTAAGTACCGATGGAGAAAAAATTTTTTGGAATAGCGTAACTAGAACACCGGTAAATAATGCAGCTATCTTCACACAAGCTGAAGAAAACTTAGATTTTATATCGAACAACATTCGCAACCAGCTGCAAACTACGCTCAGACTTGCAAATGTTTTCAATAACCCCTTTATCAATCCGGTCGGCTTCGGATTTCCCGACTTTAACATATTTCACAACTTTATCGGACAGGGACGGAATCAGTTCAATGCGGAAATCCCCAGCTCATCACCTTGCCATTGTCATCATAACGATAGTCCAAACAATCGAAGCCCGGGATATATTCCCCCAGCAGAAGAGCCCACGTTAAAAGGGCGAAATCCGGGAAATGTTGCACGACGCGATGAGTCCAACATAAATGAACGAAATTCGGGAAGTTTTGCTCCACGCGTTGAGTCCAACTTAAATGAACGAAATTCAGGGAATGGTGCCCCTCGAGAAGAGCGAAATCCAACAAACACTGACGATACTGATCTATGGTACCCGCCACTTCCGACCTCGACGCAGCGAGCCCTGGTTCCTGTGCCCGCGAGTGCCCCAGCACCGCCTGCCTTTGGAGATGGGTCCCGATCAAGTAATGACGACAAACCTTTGTGGCTTCCAGTGCCAGATCCACCCTCAACCGAGCGCACTTTGGTCGGTCTGCCCACATTGGCACCCAAAGGCGGAGCCGACACAGTCATCGACGACTTCCTGGCCAAGGTGGACGTCACTGCCGCCGACATCAAGGAGGAGGATGGCACGCTGGTCAGGACGATCGTGGACAAGGAAGGCCGAGTTCTAAGCGCCAGCTTTGAATTAAAAACTAAAGAAGAACTAGAAGCTAATGCAAATTAGCAAAGTCATTGAAATTGTTTGAATTGATTTCTCTATTGCTTTTGTATTCTTTAATAAACAAGTACTGTGTACATCATTAATATAAAGAAAAGTTTGCTCATGACATTTTTTGAAAGAGTTTTACCATCTTATGGCGAAGTTTGCGGTGATGAATTGTCTGTCGATCAAATCCCAACCACAAGTTCAAGTCTCTGAGAGAGAATAAACTTTTTTAAATATAACTTTATTATTTTGTAAATAACTTCATATACAATATTAAATATGAACATTTAAAAATACAAAATCCAAGCAAGGCTTAAGAAAGTTTAAACTTTTTGTAAAAGTTATTTGTTATGAATTTCAATTTCAACAAAAGTGATACTCGGCAACGCCCGAAGATAACAATAAATTTTTAAAATAATTCGTGGAAAATACAATATATGCTTACACTCTTGATAAGGATGGTTGTGTGCGGGACTAAGCGATAACCTGTACGAGGCACCTGCACTTAGGATGGGGATCAGTTGGCAAGCTTAGCCGATTTACATTCAATCTCAGTTCTATTAAGGCAGTCTAAGTGTTCACAAGTGTAGCGGAAAGATCGAGAATGAAGTGCGCTAATCTTCTGGCAATTTCTGCCAGCTTGCTGCTCCTACAACTGGAGGTAGGTCATGGAAGAAAACAGCACTCTTCAAGTGGAATAATCTGTTTACTAATAATCTAATAGATGGGGGCGACAACAGCCACTAACGATGGACCGAGTCGAGAACTGTACGCCTCGGCCCGGTTAATTGGATTGGATGACGTGGGTTTGGGCGAACTGTGGCGCACCAAGCAGCCGCTGGTGATCACAAATCAGGATGCTGCTGGTCATCTGTCTAGGGTTACCTACGAGCTAAGTCCGGATAGTGCAACAATTTCAAAGACAACAGTCACGGAGCGGTCCCCTCCTGCTCGGCTAGAGGATGATTCACGCTCTAAGCCCCAAGAAGAGTGGGAGTATGTGCCTAATCCCGTTCGTCATTACCGTCCGGTTCAAGAATCAAGCTTCGGGGCTGGTAATTTTGGCAATACCCTTCCTAGTGTCTTTGACAGCGGTTTTCCGAGGGGTTCACTATTTCCTAATTGGGAGCCGCCCGCCGGAGTAACGCCACGAGTCACAACCAAAACGGAAGTGGATAATTTGGGACGAAAGATTACCACCACCACCAGGTCGTATAGCGGAACCCTATCTCCAGGCAGTAGCGTGTTCCAGCAGCTATTTCCCGATCTATCGAGGGAACCTGGTCCACTACCGGCATCGAATCCGTCCGTAGAAACCACTTTCTCAACTGGATCGATCGATTCCAGGTCTGGATTGTATCCCCGCCCCAGCGAACGTAAGCCAGTCTTTGTGCCAGTAGTAGATTCCACCACCACGCAGCGAACTTTAGTTCCCCTTCCGACTCTTTCCCCTGAGAAAGACACAGTCATCGACGATTTCCTGGAAAAGCTGGGTGTCAGTACCTTGGACATTGAAAATAAGAATGGGGAGTTGACAAAACAAATCGTGGATAGGAATGGCCGAATTCTGACAGTCAAATTTGTATTGAGCTCAGTCAAAGGGGCAGAAGAAAATACTAAGCAGCAAGATCCCACCAAGTAAATTGTAATTTTATGAGCTCATTTTAACTAAAGTTTTGTGGTAAATAATGGAATATTTTTTAAACAATGTATTGAAAAGAAAGCGCAATTCAATAAATCGGCTTATCAGCTGGGGCTAAACCCCGTGATTATAAGTGAAGGTCTGTAAGTCAATATTGGGGTGGCATATAACTTATATATACACAATTGATAAGAGTGTTTTCTGCGAAATATAGTTTCCGGCTTAATTAGGGGGATATTCCCAATATAAAGCTTCGGTGCATGCAAAGCTAAATCACTAATAGGGTATTTTAATTACTAGCCAAGAATCATGGTCATTATTTTCTCAACAAAGGCTTATATGAAAACGTTCTAATGAAAGGGAACTTTAATCTTTTCGAATAATTATAATAAACATAGGAACCACCGAATAATTGGGGTGAAAATCATCATAGCTTCAATAAGTATTAATGCGTACTCATATAATTCAAAATTTGAATATTTTAAAGATGTTTTTTTATTTTTGCAATAGCTGCAAGGGTATATAAACTTCGGCCTGCCGAAGTTTGCTTCCTTTCTTATTTCTAGTTAAATAATATTATAGATGGGAGCGAACCCAACTTATGACGAACCCAGTGATGGATACCGTCTGTCATTCACAGGTAGCTCTAGCCTAACTTCTTCTTCATATTGTACATATGTACATATATAACACAAATACTAATAACTTACAATTGCTTACCTGTTAACGGCTTCTTGTCTACAACAATAAAAGCAACTACAAAGCGTTCTGATTAAGTCAAAAACTACTCGCATATTTACAATTTGAAAATTAAATGTTCTTTAATTTCAGATCGTTGGCCAAATTAATTAAAAAAGCATAAATAGTTTTGTATGGCTAATTTATTACAAACAATTTCTTTTGTTTTTTCGCTAACAACTGAGCTGTAAAAAATTAAAAGAAAGGGAAAATATAATTGCGATAATAAAAAACCAACGAAATAATATTTAAATAATAACATTAGTGAACTAAGCATGGTTAAAAACATAATTTTAGCAAAAAGAAAAATTAATTGCAGCCTAAAATAGTTCAAGCATTAAGAGATCAAAATTATAAAAAACACAAAGGGCAGCGAAACGAGAAATTCAATTGGAATTTCACGGCAAAATGATTAAAATACGTATAAAAAACTATTGCATAATTTTGTGCGCAGCTCATGGCAAAACGCATTTGGTGGCCGAAAGCTATGGATGATTTGGTTGCCGTTGTTCTTTTGGCTGATGATTTGGTGGTACTGGTAGTGGTTGTTCGGCCGACAAAAGTGTTTTTCTCTCATTGCCTTTCTCGCTCGTTAGCATTGCATTAGTTGGGTTACATTTATAAGCCAAGCATGTCAGAGAAAAGAGAAACTAGATTAGTAAAAAATTGTTGTTCAATCAATTGTATGAAATCGGAATAAAAGCATTTTTTCTTAAGTCTAAATACGTGAAGCAAAAAAGTTTGCACTTTGGCGTGGCAGCGTCAACTTAAACTAATAAAAAAGCATTGCCATCCTTTGGGCGCTGTATTGAAATTCAATTAAGCATAAAATATATGTTACAAAAAGCATAAATATTTCAACAATTTCGGTGTAACCTTTGTTCGATTCCGTTAGTAAACAACGCTTTTATAATAAATGTGGTTATATTTTTAAATTTTTTATAACTTGTTCTCATGATTTTAACAAAGGTTTTAACTCGCCAAAGGCTCTTTAATGTAATATAAAATATTAATGGTCAGGTAATAAAAAATACTGGTCAAGCTTTATATTCAATAGAAAAGGACAATAAATTGCGTGGTAAATTTGTCAATAATGGACGAATGATGTAAAATATATTTGAGATCGGATAAATCCTTTCTTAATTATAATATTTCCTGTCTGGGTACTATAATCATTTCTCAAATTGCTCCTGGTCACTTAAGTCTAGAGCGAGTACTTGAAGTCTTTACTCACCAGGTTATCGAACCGCAAGGCATCCTCATCGCTGAGTCCCATGCTGCGGGTCAATTGCAAGTAAGTCGAGGTGATGGGCTTCAGTCGCTCCAAGTCCAACGGCGGCAGCGGCAAGGATAACTCCACGGGCGGAAGTCCTCGTAGTTGCGGAATTCGAAGTTCCGGCAGTGGCTTCGGTGGACTAGGCAGCTCCTGCTTGAGCGGCACTGGCGTAGATGTGGAGGCTGGATGTCCTGTTTTCAAGCTGCAAGATATAGATTTCGTTAGATTAATCGGTGTGAGTACATTATCCCTGGCGGCGACACTAGGCTTGGCTGTCGAAGCCTCCGGCGAGCGTGCCCGCATCGAACTGTCCGGCGAGGTCTTGATCGGATTTGGATTGGGATTGGGATTGGTATTGGGACCTGGAGAGGTGGCCCTGGGAGGGGCCAGTATCTTGCTATGGGCTGAGATAATAGCAGTAGGGGTAGTAGGGGTCGTAGGGGTTGCTGCGGCAGCCGTCGAGGTGGTGGTTGGATAGCTGAGGCTCTGCAAAAGGCTGCTGCCGGAGATGGGCGGCGCTAAAACCGGTTCGCCGGCATAGAAGCGCCTCATGAAGTCATAGTATCGCAGAAGATTATCCCGCGACTTCAACAGCTGTACATCAAAGCATTGGGGATCGGGTTGGGTTTGGCACTGGGATTGGGATTGGCGATTAGATTGGGGATTGGTATTAAGATCAGCCTGGGACTGATCCGTTGGACCCGTTGGACGTTGCAACTGAGTCTTGACCCGGATTTTGGGCACGCTAACCGGCGTGGTTTCAACAGCCGCCTGCAGCGCCTTCGGTGGCTTGGGGCTGCGGCTGGGCGGCGGTCCAGTTCCCATGACATCCAGCTGAGTGGCACTAGAGCTGCTGGCCACGACAGCTGGACCCAGTCCCAGTCCCAAGCCACTGGCCACCACCGGCTGTGAGGCCTTGAGGTCGGCACTCGAGTGCCGGCGGCGCTTGGCCGTTGGCCCCGCCTCCAACGAACTCTCCGTGTGGGACGAGTAGTTGAGGTAGTTCTCCACTTCCGAGGAGCTCTCGTTGCCAGCCAGGTCGGAGTCCTTTCCACCCGCTGATGGCGAGGAGGGTCGCAGGTTCTTCTTGCACTCGGGACAGATGGTCAGGAAGCGGGTGACCGCCTCGCGGGGCAGAAACGCGTAGGTTTCGGTGATCTGCGTAAGGGGAAAATATAAAAATATAAAAAATAAAAATTACAATTAAATTTAAACAAGTGCCTTGATGTATTATGGCAAAACAATGTATGCACAAGTTGATTTATTAATTTCCTATCTATGAGGAATACATGGTAATAATTAAAACTTTTTCTGAACACCTTTTCGGTTGAAATTTGGAAATCATACGATAAGTATGCATTGGAATCATTATGTTTAAACTTTTAATTTAATTATAATTAACACTCACGAATTTATGTAAATGGAATGAATCGTTGATCGATTTTTAAATAAAATAAAATAATTACTAGGCCTTTTCTTCCCAAAAAGCTATGTAGTTCGAAATGGAATGTTATGGAAAGTATTTCAAAGGCATTTTTAAATGTGATGTTATAAGAGTGATTGATATAGATTTAAAAGGTATATAGCAAATAGGTCAGAAACTTCTATCCCAAATAATGTGTCTGCTGCGCATTTTAACTAAGATAATCAATCATTATAAATCCAAATACACTACACTCACAATGCGGTAGGTGCGTTTCTGACCAGCGTGCATGCCACTGCGTCCGCCCAGCTCCATGTGCACGTTGTATATGATGTCGAAGAACTCCTCCACACAAGCCACTTTGCGGTAGGTCCGACGCCCGAACCCCTTGCTGGTGGAGGCGGCAAAGAGGTCCACGTCGCCGGGATTGTCGGACAGAATGGCTGAGCTGGGCAGGGGTTTCATGCGGCGTCGACTGCCGGGAGCCTCTTCAAAGCCATCGGGCCGGTTGGTGGTGAAGCCTATCGGGGCAAATCAAAGACAATCAGTGACTCCTTCTCAGCGATGCCCTCTTACACACTCACCCTTTGTCTTGACCCAGAAACGAAACTTGGAGCTGTCGGGGCGACTGTGCTCCTTGCCCTCCAGCGCCTTCAGAATGCGCGCCTTCTTGCGCAGTGTTATCGTCTTGGTCTTGGCCTGATCGCCATATGTGCTGAGGGCCCAGGGCTGGAACAGTTCGTAGATGATCTCACGCTCACCCGTGGGCTGATCCAGCTGCTCCAGCTCGTCCACATCTGCATCGTAGGCCAGATCAGCATCCGCCTTGCCCACAGTCACCGGCGAACTCTCCTCGCGCTCCTCGATGGCATAGAGCTTCCGTTTGCTGCTCCAACCTTCGCACGAGGGAATCATCGCCGAGGACTGTGGAAGAGGTGGCTCTGGTTGATCTGTACTAGGCTTGCTGCCACCATTCGAGTGTTCCATGGTGCGAACGCTGGGTCAACTCAGTCACACACTTTTTAATTGACTAAAAAACTCGCAAAATCAATGCCAAGTCCAGACGATAATCGATAGCATTGGGTAGGGGTTGAATTTTATGTGAAATTGGAATTTCAGCTGTTTTCTGATCTTCGTTTGGGGGGATTTCTCGGGAGGACCTGCAAAATTGAATTGCAAAACTTTTCGATTAAAAATATTTCTTGTGAACTGAGAATGTTTTAAAACCAGCATGCACAAAATATAAATCACCATCATATTACACTTATTTGGCTAGCCAAGGCTTAATAACTTAAGAATCATAAACTTAAAGAACTTGAGAAAAGGTCAGGCACTCAGTATTTCTATTTTTGTAACAGATGTTTTAAAAACCTACTTTTGATGTTCAATTTGTATAATCGGCCATAACAAAATCTCCAAAACAAATTTTTCACAACGAATATTTAACGAAAAGTTAACAGAAACAATGTTTTTTTTTTAACAATATCAAAATTTAACAGAAATCCCACAAAAACGAAAAACATGCGCCCAGATCTCTTCGGCTCAACAAATAACCAAGGCCAAAAAAGAAACAAACAACAGCGAACGCGACGCGACCGAATGAAAGTTCAAACACAACTGACTGGCCAACTGGTCAACGTCCCGCCGAGAAGATCTCGAGGAGATGCGGATGCTTGTCCATTTGGGAAGAAGGTCTTGAGGTCCAGTCGAAGACAGGCTGGTCCAGACACAAACCGGTTAACCGGGCATCTTTGAACTTTGAACTGCAGCCCCGATTGAAGCCAGCAGCCCTCGAAACGAGCTTCTCGCTTGCTCGAGCATCTTTCAGATAACGATAGTGCCTACCTCAATAAGTTGCGCAACTGCTGGCCAGCAAATCCTGGCCCAACTTCTTGTTGCCGAGCTGAACCAACCCGAAGATGACGGCAAAACTCACCCCTAAACCGAGCCCTGAGGTGCTTTGCATTTTTTCAAAGCACACTTTTAGGCGGTGGTGGAGTGCAGGGAAACGGGAAAAGCATAAGGCTTTTCCACCACCTACCAGACAACCACCCACTCCCACTTCCACACGACCGCCTGTTGCGCTTCTTTTCGCCTTAAAGTGTACATTGTTTTGTTTGTTTGCGTTGAGCTTGCCAACGAAGCATCAAAAGTTGTACCACTTAATAACAACGTTTTTATTATGCGGAAAAACCGTTTGAAATACCATGAAAGAACAGAAATAAACAATCTTACAAAGAAAATTTTTGAATGCCTTGCCAGTAAACTGGCTCCGAAAATAAAAGTCGCGCCAAAAAACATACCATACAAAACCTCACATATAAAAATCTTATTCGGCAATGGGATGGTCCTTGTGAGGAGGTTCCTTTTTCTTAAGGGTGCTTTCTTATTGTTTCGATTTTCTATGGATTTCAATTGTTTTTTTATTATCCCAAACTTATCTTGTTTTCCATTGGTCAGCACTATCCCAGAACCGGATTTATCTGTGTGGCTGCTCTACCGATGTGACTTCTGTCTGCATCCCAGCATCTGAGTGCTTGGGTTCAGCTTAATTACTGGACCTGGGCAGAAATAATGTTGAAAGTACCGAAAACTGGTTGATCTCGCGTAGCCTGCATTTATAAGTACGCAGACTGGCGAATTTTGTAACGAACTTTTAGAAACACGAAGATTAGAACTGGCATTATTGATCAGGTAAGGTATAAATGCTAATTTTATAAGGAAATAAATAATAAATAAATATTTATTATAGAGAAATAACATATATCCCATAACGGTGATATTTTGGCGTGGATGGACACTTTGTAAAGGTATTCCTCATTTGAAATGCAATCGAACAAGGCGTGTGGAACAAAAAAGGTTATAAAAAATTAACTGAGTCATTTCAAATGACAACGATTTAATCAATGTTCGAAATGGGAAATCAGCCACGACATGAAAAAAAAAACAAAAAAAAAAATGGATTTGGACAGATGAAAAAATGTAAATTATATACAACTTGTACTTTTTAATTTGTTTTGAGATATTCGGGAATGCTTTGACGAAATAAATATACAAAGGTACATACAAGTATTTTAAAATATGCATGCAAAAATGTATTTTTTAATTTACAAAATCACTTTAATTTTTAACAAAAAAAAATTATTCTTCCCTTAAACCGACAAAAAAATTAGTTGTTTATTTTTGATTTAGTTACCAAGCCCTGCAGAGCTAATGAAAACAGTTAATGTTCCAGCTCCTAGCAAATGAGGGGTTGAACAGCAGATGCTCATTAGTGGCCGTGGTCTCATCGCCTATGCATTGAAATTGGCAGTCACTTGTGAAAAAATCAATGCATGTCTGAGTAATCGATGCGCCTAATGGAATATCTAAGCTAATAAGGTTGAGCACGTCAATCCTGGTGGATGCCAGTTTAAGTTAAATGGTGACTCCGTTCGAGGACAATTACCGAAGCAACTTATTGACAAACAATGGCTGGCTTTTGCCCATTTGGTGAGCTAATGTTTGGCTGGCCTGGGCTGGCTGCTTGGCATTTGGTTAGCAATTAGCCAACTGCCCAAATAGCATGAGTAAATAGGCTGGCCGGCTAAGTAGTTGATCCGAAAGGAGTGACTGGTTTCAGGCAGCATCTGCGGCAGGACATTGGATGCAAACAAGTTTGGCTCTGGCAAGGAAACTTTCTCACGCTCGATCTCAGCATCAGCATCGGCATTTGCATCCGCATCCGCATCTGTGGCAGGACATGGAACTTTTATTAAGATTCCCTCTATCGTTTTGCTGAACTTTCACATCAAAATTTCAACGGATTCGTACCCAGAACCAGGCCGGTTTTCCAAACTGGACAACAGCATCAAAACTGCCGTTGAACTTTGACACGCATCCCGGCCAAGATGAGCATCCTCAGCAACCCTTTTCGTTTTCCATCCAAGGAGTAACCAGTTTGCCGCTGGTCACTCCTCAGCCTCCGCTGGTCACTTGGTTTTCAGTTGATCGGGGTGGGTCTACTCTTACACCAGCCGATCTTTTCAGTTGATGCTGATGTTTGCCGATGATTTGGCCCGCATGACTCTGTTTATTTTTCCTTCTTTTCGGCAAAGATAATGTCCAGTTTTGGTCACTTCTTTGTCTGCTCCCGAACTCCTTGCCATTTGCGTCTGTATTGCAGTGATCTCCACGCTGATGCTATGCCAAAGGACACCAATAAAAAGTCCACACATCTTGGGAAGGTATTCAGCGCAATGCCTCAACTGAAACCTGTTCTATTTTTAATGGCCTGTTACTGGGTAGGATTTTTTGGTTAATTTCAGGGACTTCACATATTGGAACCACGAAGACCCTGAATACGACATACAAATATCGTTAAAATAAAATTGATTTTCCAATAAAACAAATAAAAAACCTTTTAATCTTTTACGAAAACTAGGAGATGAGAATACTTTAAAAATATGTTAGTTTTGTCGAATTACTTATATGAGAGCTTTATTATTTAGTTTTCTTACTTCATCACAACTTGAAACGCTTAAGATGTCAACAATTGTTGACAATCATGCGATCATTTAAGCGATTATAACCGGAATTTAATATTTGCTATAGAATTTTCTCTATTGTAAAAAATTATAAGATTGAGGTTTACAAAAAAATATCAGAAATTCCTTTTCCAGCTCAAAAGTTTCGAACAAGCGTATAAAAACACACTGATTCCCTTGTATTAAAAAAAGTTTTAAGGCTTGGCACAAGTTCTGAAAATCAAGATCATGTATTCGATTAACAAAAATCAATATTGATAATAATGGCTTGTTTGGCAAACTATTAAATTGTTGCTGCAAATTCTAGAGATTTAAAAAGAGGAAAACAATGGCAGCACGAAAGGTTATATAATTCTTTTGGTAAAGTCGAATGCAAACAAGAGTTGGGGAGTGCAGCTGGAAAAACTGATTCGTTGTCGGCTCCGACAGGCAGATAATGAGGCTTCACAAGGGGGCATTATTCGCCGAAGGGATGGCGCAATTTTACGCACAAAAAAAGAGTTGACGATGGCTGGTGCTGGAGGTGAGGGCGAGGGTAAATGTGGGGGTGGGAGTGGAGGTGCTGGGGGTGTAAGCTTAACAACGCAACATAAATTAACGCATATTTCAGTTGCAATTTAAAAAGCGCACAAAGCGAACGGAACCTGCAGTTGGCTGCGCTGCCAGCTTTTCAATTATTTGTTGTTGCTGTGGCTATTGTTGCAGTTGCTGTTGTTGTTGTTGTTATCATTAACATTAACATTGGTGTTGTTGTCAAAAGTGCCAGGGCAGCGCATTATTTCGCAGCCGCCGCTGTTGCACGCACAAAAAACGAATAAAACCGACAACGCCCCAAATGCCTGCAAAAAATGCAGCCCCCAAAAACCCCTGTAAGGATGCAGCGATGCGCCTAAAAGTATGCAACGCATTGGCCGCCCATCTGTCTGCCCTCCCATCCTCCCCCTTAACCCCCCACACGCACACACACGCACACTTCCACACACACACACAAATATCCACATTGCACATTCGCGCTGCTCTGTACATTATTTACCTCTTGTTCGTTTTTTCCGCGGACAGCGGCGGCAGCAGCGCCGTTTTTTACAAGTTTTATTGCATGCGTGCGCGAATGAAAAATAAAATATATAAAAATATATAACGGTACCGCTCCAACACGTCGATGCCACCATTGGCCTCGAATCGCCGGCGAACGCTCAAAAAATGAACAAAAAGCAAGAGAGATGCCCAAATGCGAAAGCGCGTGCAAGCAAACGGGCCAGCAATGTCCATGTCCATGTCCATGCCCATATCGAAGTCCTGGCTGCCCAGGATCAGGGTACATACATAGGTGCACTGATTGCCTCCATCGAATGTGGGAGGGTGCGAGTTCGAGGCTGGCGGGAATGAACGGGAATGGGCGGGAATGGACGGCAAAGGACGGGGAAGGGGGAGCTGCAGCAGCGACGGCAGCGGTGACCATAAAAAACCCCAGGACAGACGCTGGGGCCAATGGTGCGTATGTGTGACGTCGGCAAATGTTAAGCGACAACAACAGCAGCAACAAAAGCGACAGCAGGAGAGGAAAAATAAATTAAAAATGGTCGGAGCCGCCGTTGCTGCATTTTCCACTGGCATTGTCGTTTTTCTTCTTTTTT